ATTCACTTTTTGAAGTACACATACCTCTCGGATTTAAATCCGAGGTTTCCACATTTATTTGCTTCTTATGTTAAATTTTCGGTCAATTTGAAAGACCATCATCAGAACCGGATCATTAGTGAAGTTGAGTGCGATGTTAACTAAATGATGTGAGTACAACACGTACAATTAATAAGATAAAAATAACATAAAGTAAAAAATTTTAATGTTAATGTTAATCTTTTTTATTTAATACCATTACATCAATACTAATTGAAACAAGACCAGGAGTTAATACCAAATGAAATCATGAACTTGTATTGCATCACCTTTACAGATCCAAGGGTGTGGGTGTGGGTGTGGGTGTGGGTGTGGGTGTGGGTGTGGGTGTGGATGTGGGTGTGGGTGTGGGTGTGGGTGGGTGTGGGTGTGGGTGTGGGTGTGGGGTGTGGGGTGTGGGCGTGGGCGTAGATCGTCTCTTACCACACAACCACACCCACACTCACACCCGCACCCCACATCCACACCCACACTCACGCCCACACTCACGCCCACACCCACACCACACACCCATACCCCACACCCTTACATTGGCTTTAATCGTACTTACACTTATCAATTACACATTACATTTCTAGAGCTCTCTATTGATCATGATCAATATTACATCGGGATTTTTGGAGACATTTAGTTTCTGTTCTATTCTCTTTCTCTTTTGCACCATTGTCTGACTAATGAATGAGATTGATTCTAGTTGTTTAGTTGATTATTCTCGTCATTACTCAGCTTTTACATCGTTCTGAGAGATAGTTCTTCTGGTATTGTATTAATTCTTCTTACTAGTTCAATCGGCAAAATCATTATTTTCAATTTCTTTAACTTGTTCATTTGCCCGAGAATCAGGAGCTTTCATTTTGTTCTGATAACCGCGATGGTGTGTGTATGGGTGGTTGTAGCCATGTCTGTGGCTATGACTGAATCAAATGTTGACATCGACACAGACACAGGGACGCGTACCCACATCCAACTTTATAGAAATCTGACTGATATAGAAAACATTTCAATATCATCTTTGAAAGTAACACGTATTCTAAACCGAACAATTTTATTCGGTAATTTTCGACTTGTTTCTTTAATATCAATTGTTTGGATTGTATTATAAGAAGATTATCGATTATGTATGTATATGTTGGAAAATTAGATCAAGTTGAAGACTTTTCTATTACTCTTTGTGAACTTAATGAAATAGTATTTATGCCAGAAACACAAGCATTCATATAAAATAGCAAAGATCAAACATATCGATTATCTATGAAAGTAAATCTTCAAATAATATGTCCAAAAAAATGATTATATTGATAAAAATATTCATAGTGTAAATAGTAAATTATAACATTATATCAATCTATGGTATGATAAAATTCAAATAGCTCGTTTAGACTTAACACCAACATTGTATACAAGAAAACGTGATTCAGTCGATAGTGGTATCAGTAGTGTTTGATCAATCTTTCTTTTATTGTTATTTTCTATCTTTTATTATATAGTTTATATGTTCCGTTGTAAGAAATACAAAAACGAAATGTCTTTAAATGGAAAAAGAAAAAATTTCAGTTAAATATTGTTTTAAATGTATGCTTGACAGTCCTTTGGATTTAATTTCTCATCACATTAGTAGTTTTTGTAACACCACATGGTTGAATTCCTTTATAGCCAGTTTCACTTGATGATGAACAACCTTGATTGATTCTTTCATATGGCTGATGACAATGAACAGTATTTCCGTATGTATTTGTATTTATTAAAGGTGTTACTGTCGAAGACGACTAGAATAAAGAATTCTTATAGTTTTTTTCCTAAAGGCCTTTTTTTGAAAAAAGTATACTATATCTTCATTAACACCAGCTTTACGAGCTTCCTGAATCAGTATTGCAGGATCTAAAAGGTATCCATAATGAGCTTTATAATTATAAGGATCTCCTCGAATAACACCAAGATTTTCAAATTTTCGTTCTATACGGGCATCAACGTCTTTATAATGAACAACAGTATGAGTTGGTTTGGGATATTCTATAGCAGGAGGAGCGAGCTTAACACATATTTTGCGTTCAGGCTGAGGTCCATAGGGTAGCCATCGTTCAATTCTAATGTCACCTATGTAGCACAAACAAACAACAATCTGAAATAAAAAAACCAAAAAGAAAAATGAAGATAATTCTTTTACGTGGTTTTTCTGGAAGTTGTGGCAAAACTTCGATGCGAACCGATCGTCGTGGAACAGGTATAGGAGATAATTTGCGAATAACTATAAAACAAAATATATTGAGAAATTTCATTTATTTAACTTATATTTCTTTTTCCTTACATTTTTCACTGCAACCATGTGGCGGTGGCTTCGGTGGTCGTTCACGTAAGATAAGTTCAGGTGGCGTACGAGCACGCGATCCATGCTGGCGTATGACAAGCGGTGAAGGTGGTGGTGGTTGTGGTGGACGTACTTCTTCAATAATGATCGGCTGAAATCATACAAAGATACATAAGATTGAATTTGTAAACAATTTGTATCATTACTCCTGGCGGTGGAAGAGCTGGTGGTTGTAGATATTGAATGACAACTCGTTGTTCATATGTTACTGGAATGTTACTTGGTGATTCAATAATATTTGGTCTAGGATCCAAATAAATAGTTCCAGCAAATTCAGCAAGACGTCTATTCGTTTCTTCTTCACTATACGTATCAATCGGACTATCAATACTTGACCGACTACGTGCTTTTGTATCCTGTAAAAAAAAGAATAGAATATTAAATGGTTGACCTCTTGGCAACTTTTCATAGGCCCTTAAAAGGTTTGTGACAACCTTCTATATCCTTAAAGGGTTTAGGAGTCGGAGGGTTTATGAAAATAAAAACGAGGTACGTCCACGCAGGTTCGCCCACCTTTTTACAGAATTTTCTGCCGGCAAGATTTAAGTATGCTAGTCGTGTAGCCCTTGTCAAGTTATGTACCAATTGCTATGTGGTCTTGATTAGAATCATCCGCTAACTGAATAAAGGCAGCCTCAATAATCGATTTTTTAGAAAAATGGCCCCGAGAACCTGTCTGTTATTTTTTTTTGTTGAGCATTCTTGCAGTCTTTCGATTTAACCATTAGATAGAGCATAAAAAAGTTGTCTTGCTAAAATAATTTTCAGCATTATATCTCTAAAGCTCATCGTTTGAAAACATTTGAAAATTTGAGAAATATTACCCTGTCTGATAAAAATATAATCTTTATAAAATTTACATATTCAGGGCCCCTTTCAGAAACGATTATCCACTTAGAATGGTCCCTTTGTGCTATAATTTTCAGGAATGAGTGATCCTGGAGAGATACGCTTCTGGTAAAAATTTCAGCTCTATTGGTCATACTAGACCGAATTTCCAGCTGATTCATAGGTCATTTTTGGCCTTCATGAGAATCGATATAACTTCGTCGTAACACAAGGTATACAGCTCGTGGTGGTTTCAAATTAAAGCCAATGTCAGTACGCAGCTTTCCATCAAACAGAATTTTTAAATTTCCTATTGTTCATTTTTTATTAATATTTTAGTAGACATATCTTAAAAGAAGCGTGAAACTCTGTGATCTGACGACAGTAAATCTCACTTTTCTCAGTCCAGGAATCGACTTTAAAAAAACTGGTTGATGAAAAGTTTACTCGGGTTGAGACCTATAAAAACAAAAAAAAATATTGGTTATAGCTCAAGCCATGAGGGAGGAGGTTCAGTTTTACTGATTGGAAACTATGTTTTGAGAAAAACGCTAAAGAAGTTTTAGAGATGGATTTTTTCATTCAAATCCAGAAAAGAATCATATTACAATTGCATATTTTTAATACATTTCAGTGGCCTACTTTAAAGCATGTAACAGATGAAGATAGCTAACGCCATCTGTCATGCTGGTTATTATAAAAATGTTGTATTCAGTGATAATGCAAGTTATAACGCAGTTTTCCAAAACAGAAAAATTTTAAGGCCCCTTCAAAAAAAAAGTCACTTTTCATCAGAATAACCGAAATTGAGATAAATGCATGGAAAGATAGCCCGTGGTCTGGTCTTTCAGAAACGACAAAAATTTTTACTCGGCACCTCCTTTTTTCCAAAAATGTTTGAAGATTTTCGTCATCCTCTATTCGAAAAATAAGCTGTGTTTTTTTACAAAAAACCAAAAATCTTTTTCCTTTTTTCTCTGTTTATGATTTATCGAACGGGCAAGCAAAAATTCTCTGTCGGCATTCATTCTACATATTTTAATTTTTTTCTGTTTGAAAGAGGGTGTCAAAACGCAGGGCGCCAAAGAGCCCTTTTTTTAATTAAGCTTTGTTTTTACTATATATATAAACATTTATATAAATTGGCGCCCATTTTTAGAGATTTTTTTGAGTCATTGAACTTGGGATCCCTTTTTTCCGCTTAAAAAGTAAGAATTTCAAAAAATAGAGCGCTTTGATGTCTTGTATCCTGACATGCTCTTTCAAACAAAAAAAAATTAAATAACTACTTAGGGTTATCCAAAAGTAGTGGTCCAGGAATTTTTTTTTCTTATAGTAAGCTTGAAAAAATTTTCTTTTTTATGGACAGATAGAGCGTCTTTCACTCTATTTTTCTATGCTATTTGATCACTATTCAACTGATATCATAATAATAAAATTTCGATAAGAACTGTTTTTGTTGAAAACTAACTTGTAGCAGTAGATCATAACAGAACTTATAATAAATGGCAAACTTTGTATTTCATATTTTAATCCCTAAATACATTTTATTTAAAAAAACAGAATATACCACAAGATGCAGCATGAAAAGCTCTACAATCTACAAAGTAAAGCTTGTTTTATAGTATGCTTTTTCTATTCAAAAAAAGTCAAAACCTCCATGCGACCAACCTTCGATACTACGAAGAATATCATTTTTTTTGGCGCACGAATAATTCCTTTTCTTCGTAATGTCGAAGGTTGGTCGCATAGAGGTTTTGGCTTTTTTTGAACAGAAAAAGCATACTATAAAACAAGCTTTACTTTGTAGATTGTAAAGCTTTTCATGCTGCATCTTGTGGTATATTCTGTTTTTTTTAATAAAATGTATTTAGGGATTAAAATATGAAATACAAAGTTTGCCATTTATTATAAGTTCTGTTATGATCTAATGCTACAAGTTAGTTTTCAACAAAAACAGTTCTTATCGAAATTTTATTATTATGATATCAGTTGAATAGTGATCAAATAGCATAGAAAAATAGAGCGAAAGACGCTCTATCTGTTCATAAAAAAAGAAAATTTTTTCAAGCTT